TTGTGAAACTGTAATACACAGAAAGCAGCAATTACAACCTGCAGACTCTCAAAGCACAGACATAAAAGTTAGAGCTCACCTTTGTTGGCGATGAATACATTTAGCCAGAGCCATCTTTGAGCTCTGCTGCATGGTTAAAAAGCTGTCTTCAGTCACAAAACTTACTTACTTTAAATCAACATGTGCTGGTAATGGAAGGAACACGGGCTACAACAGTAACTGCTGTTGGTTCTAACAGTTTAGAAGAAATTTACTTAGAAGTAAATTAATCCATAGCAACTGGGAAGAATATAGGGGCTAGAGCTGCAAGGGAAGCCAGGCCTATTAGCCTGCACACCTGGCAGTAGCAAGGTTCTTTGCCTCTGAAGCTGTCAGTATGACTAAAGACCCCATGCTATTTAAACCTGCAGACATGCCTGAGAAAATGTTAGTCAGTACTTAATGGCATACAATGTTTATACTGTACATTGGGAAGATAAATGGGTATCATTTGCTATTGTTAAGTTCTGGTTTACATTTATAAGAGCAGGGTATTTTGATTACTAGATGGTTTCCCCTGCACCACTAATGTCACATTCTTTCTTTGCTTAAAGGAAGCACAGCCTATGTGGAAAGTTTAAAGAAAATCCCATGTTGCTCTGTAATAGTGCGATGAATCAAATACATTACTTCTATGCTTCCATTAGTCCAAATGTTGCTCACGGATACCTATTAGGTGTTAAGTAGTTAATGATCCATTTAAAATAATAAGTTACTCCAAGCAGGATTTGAACTGAAGACCTTCAAATACAACACAGATTGCCTAATTTGTCATGCTGCTTCATACAAAGCCTTCCCTCCTTTCACACAACCGGCTCCGACTCTTGTCCTAGTACACACAGTCAGCAATCAAGAACCACAGGCCTAGGACCATGTTCAACCTCAGCAACAGGCAATGCACAAAGCATGTTCAAACGATGGGTATCATGGCAGAAGACAAAGCATCACGTCTTGCGCTACACACAATGCAGCAGAGATCAAAACTGTGCTTAGCTGACTACTTCCAGATACTAAAAAGGAGTTGGTAAGTGTCTAGAAGCAGCATGCAATGATTTTCATTACTGTAATATCCTAAAGGAAGTATTTCTTTTGTCTGCTTTTACCCTCTTTCCCCTTGTACCTCAAATATATGTGAACATACCTGCAGTTTAGAGTCATTTTCCAATTAGAGTAACATACCATGTGTAAGAGTGGGCATTTGCACAGTTTGTAAGCCTTGATATAACAGTTTGCTGCTGTAAGGAAGGCAACACAGTGATGGCAGCAGAAAAAGACAGGAAGGTTGGCTAGTGTATTCCAGAATTCCTCTCCGAATTCTTTCATCTCAAGATCAGTTCACCTTGTGAAGCCAGAGGTAAAATAGACCGACCCTGAAATCCAGCCTCTCCCTTCTTGTGACAACCATCCTTTTGCATATCCCACCAGCAGCTGGGACAACCTAGCTGTAACTGCTTACAGATATACTTTGTTATCAAATGTGGAATTTGGACAAAAGAGATATGCAAGTAATTCCTGGGGGAAAGAAAACTAGACCTAGTCATCTTGAGCAATTTATGAAGGCTTTCCACCACTCTTCCAAGCATCTGAGCATTTAAGCATTTCGACATTAATGAAGACAACTAAGCACCACTGACACATGTATTTTATTTATTGAGTTACGCTAGAGCGTGCCATGCACTGAAGTGCATTACACTTTACAATTCGGTGAACAAATAAGGTTCGGTCATCAAGTTTCCTTAGACTGAAGGGGATCTGCAAGATAAAAAAAAAATAAGTTATGTTATGTTGGACAAACTTCATGCTCTAAGTAAACATATTAGTATGTATGAATGCAAAGCAACAGAGAGAAATGTTTATGTGGTGGTTTAGTCTAGAGGAATTCCCCCTGTTATTTCCTGATGGTTTAAGATTCACACACCCTTCATGTGGCAAACAGAAGTGAAACATGGAACAAATCAAGAGCTGGAACAATAGTGCACAGCACATCAAATTCACTATACATGCTACACTGATAACTGAATCAATCTTGCTAAGGGCCCGAAAGAGAAAGGAATGCAGCTTTCAGATAGGAGCCAGAGAGGAAACAAGTGGTGTAGGCAGCCTACCAAGGAAGGAAGAAAAGCAAATTCAAATTGCTTCTCCACACTATATTGAACACAATCCAAGACCAGCTGTGCTCCACGACAAGAGTCATGCAAGTGGTTTGGTTAGCCCCGAACTCTGAGCTTGTCCCTTTATTCTATTACTGAGCACACTGTCAAGGTAGGATCTAGCTTCCATTATCAGTATCGCCACACAAAGTCCATGCCAAGAAGACAAAACAGTGTAAATTCACACTTAGCTTGGCACTTTACACCGAGTTTGTTCCTGCTGGGCATGTAGGCACCTTGGAACCTAACACCTTATCTAATGCATTCTCCTCCCTGCCTACCCTACCCTCTCCTCAATTTGGGGGCTAAGTACTGATTCCAGAGTGAGTATTCAGTGAGGTTAAACCACTGTATTTACTACCACGTACAGAATATATTCCAACAAAATGGGAGATGTAGAACGTGCATGACCACTGCACCTTTTAGGTAACTATAACAAAAAAAGCATCAAATTCAACCTCCATTCAACTTCCACAGCTAAGATTTAAGCTACTGAGGCAAATGAAAATGTCTTCCATCTGTTCTGTGTCCTTGTCATTTTCACAGTCTTTCCAGAACATCTGAAACACTGGCATTGTTTTTCCCTTCTTTTACTCATGTATTCATGTGCAGGCACAAAAAAGCCAAACTCTTTCTACTATGAAGGACTGAAAAATATCAGTTCTTATATAAATAGGCTAAGGAATAAGAAACATCAGCAATTCAAACAAAATCACATCTAAAGATTTGTCTTTCACATTTTCTTTTGAGCTGGTGTAATTAAGGAATGGAAGAAATGTTTAGGAAACATTTAATTTTAACAGGTGCACACAATGTGCAACTCTTTTTTTTAAGCTGCAAATGGAAACATAAGCTGAGAGTGGAGCTCTATTTGCACTGAAAAAAATCCTGCTCATGATTCCAATTAAATATTCAACATGCATCCTTGTTGACAGTGTTTGTTTCAAATGATTTTACCACCAGATGGCCTTTCAGAATACTCTGATGAAGGCCATCTGACTAAAGAATGCAATTCCGGTGTCTAAGAAAAAGTGCCTATATATTAGCAATAGGACAAATCAGAGGAAGAATTAGCCAAGATTAAAACCAGGTAATTTTATTATTTCATTATTTATCTTTGTTGCAGTTGTAGTTAAAGTAACAGAAGCTTCCCCCTCTCACAAAAAAAAAACCAACCAACCACAAACCAAAGGGACTGCCACATGTTTTTTTCTTTTTAAATTTCTCAGACGAGCCAGAGCTCTGCTTTCTTATCTGTTACGCAAAAACACAATAATTGTAGATTGTCACACAATAGTATTTAGTATTAATGGTGTTAAGTACAAATCTTTTATTCAATCTTGCTGCTTTAAGCAAACAGGCTGAGAAAATCCAGCTGGCCAGGATAATTAGAGACACAGATTATCACGTAATGATCACAATATGAAAACATTCCAAAAGAATGAAAAAGCTATCATTCTAGATTAGGTTGAAGTCATTTTAAGAGAAGCAGAGAACTCAATGTAAGAAATTTGGATCAAGAAAGGGGGAGGAATTCTTTATTGAGTTGTCACATCATGAGCTTGTGCAGTTTAGTGAGTGTGCTTATTAATCACTACAACAAGGTTGAAATCAAGACTTTTTTTTCCTGGTGTTTTGACAACGACTAAGGGAGAACAAAGTTTCCTAGTCTTCAAACAAAAGGCAGTATTTAAGTGCTACGAAAATAGTATTGTGAACAAAGTTCTATTCAAGCTTAATTCAGTATGGCAATAATATGAATATTAGTACACAGAGCTGTATGCCACTGCGATTTTTTTAATATATATGTATGTACATATGTATGTATTTAAATATATTTCCCCTCATGACTAGTTATCTTTCCCCTATCACCAACTTCAAAAGCCAAAAGGATGTATGGAAGCTGTCTCTTACAATAAGATGCATGCTATGAGAGAGAAACAGCCTCTCCATTTTCTCATTCACTGTACCACCACAAGTACGTAAGTAGTAGATACAGACAGCCCAAAGCTAAGCAGTTCAAGATGTGACAGCATCAACACAACAGCAAAATCAGGCAAGTCTTATAGTTAATACAAGAGCTTTGTCTCTGCTACATGGCTGTGTGAAGAGGAAAGGCCGGGCATCACTCTGTGCAAGTCTCCTATATCACACAAGTTAAACAAATACCCAAAAGGTATTCAGGAGCTTTCTATATTGCCCTTACTCCCCACTCCCCAGTTCCCATATTTCTTCACGTTTTTATTATCTGGAGGTCTCTCAAGTGCAATTGTATCCTTTTCATTTTGGAGCACCTTTCCATTTGATCAAAAAGGAAGAACCTCCAAATAGGAGCACAATGTTTCACTGAAAACAACTAACTCACTCTTGTTCCAATGCAGAGTAGCTTATTACCTGTAAATGCAGGTTACCATCATTTGGGTGGTGCAGACTCAAGCACACCAGCTGCTCTCATGGCTTCAAAGTCCTTCATGGGATCATAGCTTTTATAGAACTCTGCATAAGCGCGTTTTCTGGGATCAGCAACTCCAAACTGGAGAGTAACACGCATAAAATTAAAGGTTGCAAAGCTTTATGAAAATAATTTTTTTTCTATTAGTACTATGATTTGTGTCAGCGGATATCAGTCTAAAAAGCCTTTAGCTCATACTAGTAAAATACTACGTTGTTCCTTTCAAATCCACATTTCAGGCTACCTGACCATTAGACAGGAAAACAAATGTCTGAAGTGAAACCTTAAAAAGAAAGTCCAGTACAAGACAGCACATTCCACTTTTAAGATCCAGAAAGACTCCGCCTATATTGACACTCAAGTGTCCAGTGACCTCCCTGCTAATAGTGTTATACATAAAACATGACATTATGGCAAGTTTTGTGCCTGTGGGCAGCCGCAAAACTGTAATTCCAGATAAAATGGCATCCTAAAACAATGTATTACATTTTACAAGGCTACCAAGCCAAGCTTACAGCTCACCGACATAAAAAGACACAATCCTGACTCCTTGGATACTCATTCACCTGACACACAGGGATATGCTAAAGAAGCCCCCAAAAATGTGAAGGAAAGTTCAAGGTGGGTTTGTCCAAGAGCACCTAACATGTAACGAAGTAAATCGCTACTGAGATCCATGTTACTTGTTGTAAATAAGGTCTGCTGCCTTACTAGTATATTAATGTGGGGGTGCCAAATAAGGTATAAAACCACAGCCAATAATAAAAAAATTATATTGTAAGCCTGACCACAAACAAGTTTGCCTATCTCTTAACAAATGTGTCAAGTAGATGTCAAGCTTTAACAGTGCAGCTTATTGTTACTGATAGACATTTGTTGATCTCTGAGAAGTTTAAGTGGTATTTTTGTGATGGACAACCTGAAGTTAACTTAATTTCTAGACACTTTTATCAACAGCTTCCTGAGTACTCAAAGGCTGCAAACAGTATATAAATGAGTTCAATGGGCAAACCAAGATCCAGTTCTTCCACCGTAATTCAAACTGTGTAGCTTGCTTTGTGTATGAGATCCAAGAATTATTTAGTAAAGGCACTCAAGAAGAACTACCACTCTTTTCTTTGTCAGCAGTCTCTGAACGGCCACAAAAACCAAACTCTAATCTCTAAGTGGGTTTTTTTGGAAATATAATGCTCCATTTCCACAAGATACTTCAAAATAAAGGATAAAAGGACCATATTAGCCTTCCCCACATTGCTATCCTCAGTGTAAAGGATGGGTTTTCCAAATTGCTTATCAGAAAGTTTTCCAAAATCAGTCTAGAGATAAATAAGACTTTGACAACCTCTCAAGTCTCGGATGCTGTGACAGAGAGACACACAGACTATCTAGAGTTAACGTGCATCAATCATGCAAATGACCAAAAGTAGTCTAGGACTAGGAGACTCAAGGTTAAGTTGTTGTGAATTGTGTGATCTTAATCATACAGCTTAAACCATCAGGTTATTCATATAATTTCTTCAAATGAAGATTAGGAAGATTTATTTATGTTCTGGAAATATGCTTACAAAAATACATTACTAAACCCTTCTGATGAACAGCTCAACCAAACCTCAACAAAAAAATATTATGAATTCTTAAAACACTCTAATGAGTCCAGTTTATAATTGAATGACTACACAGCTCACCTTGTATAAAGCCGCACATCCCACAGATACAAAAAACGCCCCAAATAGATGAAGCTTCATCCGCCTGGCCAAAAGGCGCCGCATTTGTGGCTTAGGCAATAGTGCAGATGACATGGTGATTATGTTTACTAAAAGAAAAAAAGAAGGCAGAGAAGGGAATTGTGGGATAAGAAGCTCTGCTAAATAATTTTCTGTAACTCTACTCCAGAAAGACTGTGCTTTTTGTATTGTGTAATAATCATCTTCACAACATAAACAATAGCGCTCCTCTCTATTTGACTTTTCAGCGAGAATATTTAATGGACAACATTCAAGGACAACCTATTTACAACATGAATTTAAGTAAGTTTTTGTACTCCTTATGTCCCGTACTCAAGGAATCAAGACTGGCCTTTGCTGTTCATACTAAATCCTTCCCTCCCTGCAGGGTCTACCATTTCAGGCCTGCTATCCTGGTGTTTACATCAGAAGACACTCAGAGCATTGTTCATATTTTATTCATTTCTAAGGAAAAGAACATGCCTCTTAAACTAGTTTGTGATTTTACTAAAAACCTACAAGACCTGAAGCAGGTGGCTCTCTTTAAACGGCAGTTAAAGGTTCCCTCTCAGGGGGGAGCGGCTCCCAGGCAGCGCTGCCCGCAGGGCGCTGCCCTCTGTGCAGCTCCCTGCGCTCACGGGGCCAGGGAGCGGGAGCGAAGGCCGGGAGGTCCCCAGCTGTCCGCAAAGGCCTTGGTGCTGCCCGCAGCCGCGCACGCCCGGTCTCCTCTCACATTTAACAGG